GACGGCGCCGAGACGCCACCTGGCGGCGTCGGGCCCGGCGAAAGCGACTCGTCCCTAGTTAGGGGGAACCCCCTTGCCGGTAATTAACAAAATTAATCCTGCGGGCAGTTAGATCCAGCTCGATGGAAGGCGTTTCCTCACCTCTTCAGAGGGAAGGGGAAAGGCCGGCGGGGCCTGCCCTCGCCTCAGCAGCCGCGGGCAGTAGCGCGCAAAGGGCGGGTCCATGGCAGCCGCCGAGGCCGGGCATCACCGCGGCTGGGAAAGTGCTATTTCTGACACCTCTCCGAAATTATGGGCTCGTCCCTCCAGTGGAATGGTCCAACATTGTAGGAGTGGGCTCAGGAGGAAGACCCCAAGATATGAAAGGTTAAAAAAAAATAATTTTTTTTTTCTTTAAAAAAAGGACTGATGTGATTCAAGCCGCTCTTATATCAGTCACAGTACTTTAAGATTCTCTGTAGCGTATTAAAAGCTACACTTGATATTAAGACAGAAAATGCACTAGTGCATTTCTGAAACACACCTATCGTATCGGGGGGAGTACAACAGAACACAAGCATATTATCACCCTATTATATCTTTCTAGTTTTACTTTGCAAATACTGTTTGCTTTGCATCTGGAGTCAGAGCCAACTTTATAAGCTAAGCTTTCCAAAGCCCCATCTCAAAAGAAAAAAAAAAAAAGTTTAGATAGTAAAGAATATATATAGAAACAATAGCACAGAAATACATGGTACATCCATGACAAATTTAGTTATCACTGGAATTAATAATCATGTAATCAAGACATAATAGAGAATTCAATTTTGTGGCAAAGAAACCAATCACATTTATTCTGTCTTGTATAATGTTTTTTAAAAGCTAGAAATTACTACCTATAGATCCTACAGTAACTCTAGGTGGTATATGGCAAATATAATGAAATGACACATATTAAGATATTAAAATTATTCCCCAATATAAAACCCATGCATTTATCGATAACTTTCCATTTATCCTTGAAGGCCTTGCTCATAGGAGAATGTGCACTACTGCCTCTCTTGATTTATATATAATTATTCCTATAAATAAAAGTTAATTATGTAAAAAAAAATAAAATTAAAGGATAGTTTTCCTCATCCTTCATTCATTAAACAGCACATATTATGTATGGTTATTTGAAAAAAAAAATCACTATTCAATTAATAAAACACAGGAAAATTAAAGTTACAAGATTATGATTCAGTAAAACTTTCAAGCAACTTCCTAATTTAACTCCATTGACAAGTCATATACTCGCGTTCTCTTTCTGGTGGGAGTCATTCTCTTAACCAATTTGGTTTAACTGATGTAAATAAAGTACCTGTAGAATATTCTTGAATGTGCATACAAGTGTGCCAGGGTTTCTCTGCCCACGCTTCAGGGTAGACAATAACAGACTAAAAACTTAACTCATGCTTTTATTTATTTGGTTTGTATTAGTGGCTCCTATTTTCTGTAGAGAAATCTGTAGCTTGCCATTATATCAGCCTGGTATAAAAGTTTATGTCCAATAAAGCACAAATCTCTGTATCATCACTGCCTTGAAATCAAGTGTTTTTAAAAGACTGCAAGACTACAATTTTTCCAAAATGAGAAGCCACGCTTCCTCCTGTCATGTGTATATAATGTTTCTAGTTTTATGCCTGGGAAGTTTCAGGAAATCTCTTATCTGTCAGTGGGCCCAGACTTCTGAATAATCAAAATTATGTTTCATTACAGAAACTCCTCTTATTAAAACTACTCTCATTCATGATTTTTAAATAGACAGTTCAAAAGACAGCCTCACTCTCAGTTACATTAGAATAACCCCATCAACTTCAGTTATCTTATAATAGTATGAGATCAGAGACTTACCATTGTCCACTTGCTGCTGTCTACGTAATAGAACATTGTGGGCATCAAGTTTAGCTTTTTTCTGTAGAAAAAGATTTCTCTTTAATACTTTTAATAATGGGATCTAACAGAGTAAGAATCAAAGTGACTTTTAAGAACTTCTTATTTGTTCCCTTTTGATTAATTTTTTTTCCTAATATACCCTCACAACTTTAACCAAAATATAAAATAATGAGATCAAAACTATTTAAATTAAAACACTGCATGTCTAGACTATTGAGTTACATCTGCTCATATCATACTAAGCAATGCAAGCTGAAGAACCATAGCTTCCAGCCAAGTCATTTGTGTATTTGGAAAAACTTCATCACGCCTATGTTAAAAATTGCATTAAACTACATGAAAATTTTATTCCTAATGATATAATACTACCAATTATGCCATTCCCTTACCACATTTCAGTTGTGTTTTGAAAATCTATGTGTTATCCACAGTAATGAAATTTGCCATATTAATAAGCCCTAGTTCTTCAGTTCTTTAGTGTAAGGATGTATATCATGTTACATGTTGAAAACTTTTCTCATGCTAATAGATGATTTTGAGAAACCTCACAATCAAAGAGGGAAATACAAAAACAGTCTGCTAAATAAATGAATAAATAAAGGAAGACTCTTGAACTGCAGCTGGGAAGTAGGCTGTGATCTGAAACCAGTTATAGGCAGGTGTATCCAGACATCCACAACTACAGGGAATGTCTATTTTGGATTTTCAGGGTTTAGTCTTACCTTTGGATGTGATCTCCTTCAGTGTTTTCAGACAGTAGGGAAAATGGTTAGAAAATTTTTTCCCTGATCCCTTATTTGTATTTTTTAAAAAATTCTTCTTCCTTTTTAAAATATATGTTTTCCCTATATATGCAAATCCCTACACAGAATCTTGTGCTGCTTCTCTGTATTGCTTGAAGAAACTTGTAATGGAGGAGGCTGGCATAGCCATGACTCTGAATTTTAACTTTCTGGTTCACCAGTCCTCTTTGGGGAACAAATTATTCCAGCTATGGATTCTGGAAATAAATATCTATATATTCCCCTCTGGATACCCAGTTTTGTGCAGAAAACTTTTAATTACTTAAGAGAAAACAAGAACATTAGCTTTGTAAATTCATAGTTATTTCCAACATGGCAGCTGTTGCTAGGACCCTATGGTAACATAAAGTCCTAGATAGCTTCAGTGCAGAAATTACACTATGAGAATAATTAAAAAATGATCTGGAATAATTTAAAAAAGCAACCCATGAGTAGTTAGAACAACAGGAATTTGGCTATGGTCTGTTCTCCAAAACACTAGTGGATTTCCGGTATTGTCAAAAGAAAAGAAACGCCACCTTCATCCATTTAGTATAACCTTAGGATTTTCCTGCTTTTGGAAATAAGACTTTGTAATGGAAGTGGGACAAGTGGGAATTCTAGGGGAAAAAAAAACGAAGTGTCAACAGCAGAAAGTTGAGAGAAAAACAAATTACCTGATGAGTCGTAGTTTGAACTGATTTTGAAAGAGAGTCCTTAAACTCAGACATGACCTGAAGAGAAGGAAATTTTCAGAATAATGTGGTAAAAGGATCCTAGAAACCTTTTTCCAGAAAAACAGCCTGAAAGAGAAATAAACTTGTTTTCAAGTACAAGTTTTAAAGTAACAGCACAGCTGACTTAATTGGAACATTTCTAATTTACCTCTGGTGAGGATCTTGCCTAGTATCTCTAATTTAGATATACTTCTGGATGTGATGATGCTGATTTTATAACATTTATTCACTTTCCAAGGAAGTTTATATTTTTTTTGTCACTGAAACTTTGGCTATTTAGCTTTCTCTAGCTAACTCAAGGAATACACTAATCTATTCAACAGGAGTAAGAGTGGCACTGCTCCTCATCAGGCTATCTCTGTGAATGTTAGCCCAATATGTAGTTCTAAATGGGGTTCAAAATATTTTAAACCATGTTTAATGAGTGAAGTTTTTTATTAGTAGGTAAATTACATCATTTGTCCTAATTTACTTGCAATTTTTAAATCTAGAGCTAGAATACATCATCTGTTTGTCCAAAGATGTATCTTTTAGAATATACAATTTAAATGCTTTTACTAAACTTTAAAACATGTGAGACAGGATTTGCAAGATGACTGAAAATTCACCATAAGGAGATACTCATACCACCTAGATTTAGGTACCTACTTCAAAAATCTAAATTCTGTAGCTGGTATCCTTCAGCTGTACAGTAAATAACAATAAATAACAACTAGCTTCCTAAAACATGCTCATTGCATAGGAGAGTTCAGGTGACATCAACTATACAGGGATTTAGCTTAATTTTTAAATTCCTCAAAAGAATATGCCTGTAAATTCCAACTGATCTATAATGTCAGCTAATTATAATTATTGGAATTTTTTTAAATAAAATAACTTAAAATGATTGCCAAAGGCAATCTTCCTTGTCCAAGGAATTTTTTTCTTTCAGAGAAATTAGAAGAAACATTTTATCAGAATAGATGCATTAAGTATAATAATTATTTTAAAGCTTATAGATGCAGATCCCTCAAGATCTCATGTGAGTTATGAAATCTAATTTTATTCTCATAACTCTGTAATAAAGTTTTATAAATGTTATAAAAAAGGGTTTTACTAAGAGTGAACAGAAATCTGAACTATCTGGCCAAGTAATAAAAAAGCATTCCTTCGTTGCTAAGCGTCAGACAAGAAGGTTTACCTGAAAATTGATCAATAAGTCTTCCTTTTCCACTTGAGTGCATTCATTTTTTTTCTTCATAGGATAATAGGGTTTTTTAATGGTTTTTCCATTAACACCTAACTTAACTGCTGGCAAAAAGAAGGCAAACATAAAAAAGAAGAGCAATAAAGAGTCAAGAAAAAGTAATCTTAGCAATCTTTGATGATGTGTTCTAACTTTGCAATACGTTTTGTTGCTCATTTCTTACGCATTAGAACGGGCACCGTAACTCTGGGCTTCATTCAGCATTGCAGAAGAGTTGTAAAAGCAGTTTGGCCATCCTTACGCTGGGATAATCCTGAGTGGTAGATCCCATATCACCTGAGATACAAACTTGGAAAGGAGACTTTGATTCTAAGAAAATAAACTCTTGTGAAGTATTCTTGGCATGTGCACTCAAAATGACTTCTGGCTGCCTCCCCTGAACACCTCTGCCCTGAAAAGATTACAGCGCTGATCATTAGTCATATCTTCAACTGCTGATTATTTCGGATAGAAAAATCTGATATTTAAAATGTTTTTAATAAAGAATGTGTACACTTTAAAGAATAATTTGCTACATTTGTTAGCTTTTGTTGCTGAATGTCACTTTTTTCGCTCTGAATATTGCTTTTACAACTGAAGATCAATAATTACTTTCTCACCACCATTGAAAAATAATGACATGTCCACATATTTGATCAGCTACAAATTAGGCCTCTAGCTAAATGGCATCCCTTGGACAAGTGAGCCAAGATATAACAGGCAGATTATTTTCCTGTCAGACACGCCTGCACAGCGATGCAGACAGAAAGCAAAACATACTTTTTTGGCCATGTCCTCTTTTCTTTATGAATATAATAAACATTACTGAGGAGATTACTGGAGCACGCCAAGTAATAGTCGTGCTTACCTGTTTTGCTGGATAGGAGTAGACTGATTTCTTAACACTGATAGCTTAACTACACCAGATACACTTGTGGCCGGCTTCATATTGTCCCAATCACACCACGTGAATTTTAAAAATAACCTGTAATAGTCAAAAGATATCCTTATTCTACTGTTTAATTAAGAATGTTGTTTTATTAATAGCTATAACTTCATTCATATGATGAGATTTAAAGAATATATTGCTTCCATTTTCACCTTTCCCCCCAACTCCAGATCATTTTATACTTCTGTTTATACATGGCTGATGTGTTCATTATAGTGCAATGATTTCATTCCTGTAAAGATTGCCATGCTATTCTTGGAAAGGATTTGTTTTAAAAATATGCTTTAGTTAATTAGTGTCTTGCAAAAATACATTTTGTCTTGTTCCTTCTTTTGTTGCATAGGAAGCTGGAAAAACTCCAGTGATGGCAGGTATTACTACCTTATAAATTAGCACAATATATTTCTCTAAATTTCCTACAGTGCTGAATGGTTTTAGAAGTACAGAATGGATAATGTGAATTAAGTTTAGTCTTTAAACTAATTTTCCATATGTATGGAAATTCTGAAGAACCTTGATTTTCAAACAGAGAACTCTTCTCGTGTCTTATTCCTTACATATTAATTATTCTGAAAGGAACAACATGACAACAAAAATGAAAAATCGAGGAGGAAAGAAATAGGAAATGGAAAAAAGCAGGATACTCTAAAGAAAAGAATTGCATTTGGTAGCACTTTGTTGAATAAAATACACATTTCAACTAAATCAATTAGATCCAACTCCATGTAATTATCTTGAATGCAAACCCAACTTGAATTTAACTTCCTACAGGAACTATGCAGTTTGCCTGTTTAAAAAGACAGATTTTATCACCAGCTAAAGGCAGTTCAATTAAAATTGGAGGCTTAACCACCCAGAAGCCTGCTGGCACTGTCTTGATGAGGTGTAATTCTAATTGGAAACTCTTTGCAGTCAGCACACAGCGAAGAACTGTAGCTGTGTTTTCAGTGATGCCCATGTTCTTTGCAGATGTTACCTACGCAGCATGTCCAGAAGCGGGTTACACAAAGTGCTTGGGAGATGAGGGGGGGGGAATGAAGAAGTCTGGATCCACCTGAACTACAAAGCCGGTTCATTCTTCTTTCATAAGAGGTCTTGAGTTTGATTTTTCTGTATCAACAAAGTATTTTTCCTTGAGATATTTTTACTTAATTATTTTGCTGACAGAGTTAAAATCTATTTTCTACATCCAAGCAAAGGCCAGAGGGGATTGATTATATGCTAGAAAGCTTTTACAAGGGGGCGACTCGCTTGAAGCATGTTAAAATAAAAGCTGTAGTAATAGTAACTCAAGCCATTATATTTGAATCCATTTGTATATTTTAGACCTTATGATAATTGATTCAATGCAGTTGTACCTGACAGAGTATTTATAAGAATTATCAACACAATTATTAGCATCTGATTATTGATAAACAATCTCTTCATCTTTGATTTCCTCGCTAAATGCTCCTAAGTTCAATAGCAATGTAGACAAGAGTACTTTATTGCTTCTTTATGCTCTATTTCCTTCTCCTTCCAGCCACTGAATTCAGTGTAAAAAGCCCTTATGCCCTTGTACTGTAAACTTCACACGGAAGGACCTTTATTTTAAACAATAAAACCTGAAAATAGATAATAACTAACACCAGAGAGCTCCAATTTTAGCTAAAACATTATGACAAGACACCATCCTCAATTCATTAGCTGTGATAATTTAATAATTAGAATGGAAACATATGACAGTTATTTCCCTCTATATTATTTATTTACAGGTTTCAGCAGATTTTTATGATAATATTTGTAATTGTGATAGACTGAATGTTTACCATGTTATGGAAATATAAGGTCTAATATATAACAGAGCTCCTTACTTTTTTTTTTCCCCCAAATGTCAGATTCTTAATCAAAAATTACTTCCAAAAATCTTAAAAGGATTTATTAATATTGCATTTTTACTCAGTTTCAGTATTTAACGCATACATCAGTATAGAGGCCACAACTGGTATAAAAATAGCCCATTTTTCTGTATGGTGTTGATAGTGTTTTGCTTTCATCTTTTTAATCTTTTTTGCTAATTTCCAAGGTTCTAGTAGAGGGTGTCTCTCAACTGACATGGCATTTCTGCAAGAACTTCCTTGTTCACCGTTAGGAATTGCAGCTGAGAAAATATGAGCTCAGAAGGAAACAAGTGATCTAGCAGTGCCTTCAGGAATTTCACCACTGAAAGGTGGGAAAGATGGGGGAAATGACGTAAGTTTAAGAGAAAGAATGGAACCTCATAGAAAGAAAGAGGAATAATATGGAAATGGAAGGGGAAAGTTTTTCAAAAGGGCTACTTCAACTCTTACTTGCAGATGAGATGTTAGTGCTTTGAAGCAATTTCACTGAATCACCTTGAACATTTTCAGTAAGTTTTGGGACATTGGGCAGAAGTCAAAAGGTTAAGCCTTCCACTATATTTCGTAAGTAATTTCACTGTTTTTAAGTCTACATTCATCTCTCAGAAGATATTTTTACATCAAAGGAAGAAAGACAAGTAAAAATTCTAACTGGTAACTTTTTAGTGTTATACCATTTTTTCTTGTAGTTACGACCACGGTAACTTTTTCAATCTCATCTTTGAAGAAGAAACCACTGATGTATTTTAGGTCCTTTCAAGTCATTTAATGCAGTTTCTTTACTTTTTTTCAGTATCTAATAATAATGAATAAGAGCAAGATTAATACTTTAAGGGGATAATGAGAACTTTTCTTTTTTTTTTTTCTGCCTTTTGAACATATAATGTGCCTTGGAAATAACGTTTCCTTTACAAGAGAATACACTGGGAGGGTTTGGAATTTTAATTAAATGTGATGCTCAAACCAATTACGCTCTACTACTACTACCTACTTTGGATGAGAATACACAGCAATTTTGTTGCTTTTCTACAGCAATGTCCCTCAAAAAGAAAGTTTACTTACAAATAACAAGATTTTTTAAAGATATGTTGTTTACATATTCATTCCCATAGTTGGTGCATATTTGTTTTAGCTTTTTCTCCCATTCACAGAATGTCACCTCGAGATATTTTAGAATACACCCTGTGTCATCTCAGGGCTGTTACACAAGGATTTGGAGACTCCTAGAAGTAGGGGAAGGAGAGAGAGAACATGACCTGAAGAACTCCTGTCACTGCAGGACTGCTCTATTATGTGCAACATCTGTCCAAGATTCTTCTGCAGTAGTGTTGCAGCTGGTGAAAATGTGGATTGAGCTCTGTCTGGATTAATTTGTGCTCTAGACACATGGGCCACAGTGCCTGAAAGGCTCTGCCTTAGCAATGTTCTAGCACGCCTACTATCCCCTCTAACAATCCATGCACAGAGATAACCATTTCCTTAGACAGCTGTGTCGGGAACAGCTGCATGGAATGACTACAGACATGCTCCTGACATCAAGTGAAACTCGAGTATTACCTTCAGAAAGATTTCTACAGTGTAGTTTCTCCCCCAGGAGCATGGTATAATGATGAATCTTCCATACCCATTTGTATTTCTTGTATCCTTATAGGAAAGGTAGGAGCTACTGGGAAGCTGCTTTCATAAAGAGATGCAGTAATGAACAGGATGCTGATTCCTCAATATGTAGCTTTCCAAGAGTCCTGAAACATCAGGCTAATGTCCCAGTGGGGAGAGAGTTCTTAATATAATACTTTAGCATGACAGGCAGAATCTCATTTTGATAAGGTGGGTTTCTAACTGAATTATCAAGCATCATGTAGCCAGTAATCTGTCTTGGGGCAAGACTGCTAACACCACTATGAAGTGCTTAACCATTATGGTACTGAAAAATTACCTAAGCATCCAAGATTAGTTTTTTATTCTGAGACTTAAAAATTTCCTTAATTTTAAGCAGGTAAGAGTCCCACTGAAGATAACTGGCATTTCAGGTTGACTAAAGATACAGCTGTTCTTAATGGTTCTGTTGCATCATGCTTTGGCCCTGAGCATGATAATTTGGTTTAGCTAGAAAAACAGAATATTTCCTCAGAAATTGTAAGAGGTTTTGCATTTGTGTTGTACTCACATTGCATATCATTTTTTCTCGCACTGTAACAATTTTTTCATCTTGTGGTAGCGTACAGTTCATCAACACTGAAAAAAAGTTAAAAGAGCCATTTGTCCCTCAACGCAAAATATTCTCTGAGGAAATTCCGTCCAATCATGTGCAGTTCTGAGTTATATTCTACTGAGGGCAGCAATGTAATTCTCCCAAGATCTGTGGTGTAAAATCTATATGAACCTCTGGTTTTATACAGCTACTTAACAGTACTGATTTTTGTGTTTTCCTTTTTCCCTGGGTGTAAAAAGGTACATTATAGCCGCTGTTCTTTCTGCCATGCTTTTTTTTTTTTTTTTTGCTTGCTCAGGTGCTGGTAATAGGCTCAGGCTTCAATTTAGCAATGTATGTGAGCTTAATTTAATTGTGTTGCACAATGGACACATAACTTTGCTAGATAAGGTTCTCAGCACTGAGCAAATCCTTTTTCCTTCTAAAGTTTGAACCTGCTTGGTAGTTACAGAGAAGATCCTCCTCTTTAACAATTTTATGGAAATGAAGTCCTTGAGAACATAGCAGTTCTCATGTTGCTATCACATTCTGTAGACTGCATCATAGCTGTTAAATATGTGATAATCAAGCCACCAACTCTATTTCTGCTTCTGTCCAAACTTTTCTCACAAATACAGTTTCCAACATGATACTAAGCTTGGTAAAATTACTGAAGACCTTATGCACAAACTTGGAAAGCTATCGGTTGCTTAGCTAATCACATATTGAGCAATCTGTCACAAAACAGCAGCCACATCTGCTGCTTACCTAGTTCTTCAAGCACAGACAGGCACTGTTAGCAAGAGTTAGTAGGAAACTGGGAGTTTTGGCATTAATAGAAAAATACAATAATCATAATTTTGCCATAACATTAATAAATATTTTGTATATTCTTAAATTAGACACTGTTTAAAATAAAAGTAAAAACCAGTCATTTGGAACAACGTTGTCTTCTTAACTTCTTTCAGAATACATGTAGAGGCTAACATTTTATTATTAGAAAACCATCCCAAAACACTCATGATTTATTAAGGAAGTTGAACAGCTTCTGCCCCTGTGTAAGTAACCACATATTCTTTATAGAACAATCCAGAGAAAGGCTAAAGGCTATAAAACAATCCAAAGAAAGGCGTAAGGCTACCCATATAAACCCTTTAAAATTATGAATCATTTTAAATCTCATTTATATGTATAAATATGGAGTTATTCTCTCAGTAGAAATACAAGCATATAAAGTCTATAGAGATAAGAGAAACAACAAACTCCTGAGCTGTATATGCATATTTTGCAATATTGCTATGCATATCTTGGCTTCTTCTATAACTGATTTCAGCGTATTGTGTTTTGAAGCTGCTACAGCAACATTAAAGTGTCAGAGACTTCAATTTATATACCACTCTGCCCAAACCTGTAGTCCAGTTACAGAAAGGGAGGCAGTCACAGCATGAGCTATTTTTTATTTTGCTTGAAAACACCTTGCAAATAAACGCTTTATGGTTATCAAATCCTCACGTTAATTATGGATAAGAAAACTCTTTAGACAAGAAAAGCATGAGATATGCAGACAAACACAGTTCTCTTGAGGATGCTGAGTGTGCAATATGGTCACTGATCTGTCACTGCTGATTTACCTTTGGATCACCTTAATGTTTCTGTAGCAGCAGGAAATATATCTTCCATGGGATGCTGTCAAGCTCAGAGATGTTGATATTCTCCAAGTTTAATAACAAAGTGGTTTCTCACTCATTTAAAAAAACTGCAATCTGATTTGTGGCTTTCAAATAGCTGATGCAAATTTTTAAAAGCCTCCCAGAAATTACCAGGTTTGTTAAAAAGTTGTGGTACTTGGCAGTCATGCCCACAAGTCAAGGTTTAATCAAAAAGTCCAAAAGGATTTACCCACAGGGGTTATTTCCACACCCAGAAATTGAAGCATTTATGAAAGAAAAATATGCAACTTACTTGACAAGTATACACTTAAGAATAATTTGCCTTCAAATTTATTTGTTTTTTTATAGAAATCTCATTATTCAGACTTGACTTAAAACACCTTTCGAGAGTTTTAGGCAGATGCATTTCCCTTAAGCATGGGATTACTGTATAACACACATTTGTACTCTTTGGTTTCAGAGTATTAATGGGAAATTTAATGAAACTAGAGAAAATCAACGAGGAGAATCAACAGATGTTACCTTGCAAGCTGGGATTTCTTCCTTACCATGCTGGGAGAAAGGAAAGAATTATTTCATATGGCTGGGATGGTTTTTGTGACTTCAGAAATGAGACTTACTTGCTATTCTGTAGGAATTACCACTGCTCGTGTTGTGGGGAGCGAGAGAGAGTTTAGGGATTCCATTTACACTCAAAATGTTAGTCTAGTTCAACCACACTGGAAAATAGCATTATGGAAGAATTTATCTGGAGAAAGAAAGTAGATGAGATTTGTGAGTGAGCATTCCAGCTAAATGAGACCCATGCAGCAGGCCTGCAATTTACCTGCAGAGGAGATGGAAAAATGAGGGAAGAGTAATGAACTAGTAACAGTCAGGTTTTGATTATTAATCCTAACTCACTATGACTCCTTATTTACATGTTTTGAAAATGAACTAGTGCATTAAAAACAAGTTTCTCATGCATTTTAAGTTTCACATACACTTCTGAAAAACTAGATACCAGACTCACTTACTTACTCTGAGAACTTCTTTGGTTCTTGTGTTGTATTTGTCTTGACAGTTTTATTGCTTAATTTCTACTGAAGAGAAAGCAGCCTGTATCACATTAAAATAAAAATATTACAAGTGACATCAGTCCCTTGAAATTGCAGTCACAGATTAGATGACAAAAATTCCTAGTACATGGACACAATTAATTTAATTCCAAATTAATTTAATTCCAAAACAGTGTCACTGAATTTTCTTTTAGATTCACCTGAGTCTGTTGAACAAATGTAATGATGTTATCATACATGTAACAATTTTAAAACATCTATTTCTTTAATAGAATGGAAAACCTATTTCTAATAAAGTAAAATAAAAATCTTTGATTATCAGAAGCACTACTGTGTTTATTCTAGGGTAAACTTCAAACATGTTAAATTACTGTTTCTGAATTCTTTTAGAGATAAATTCTGTATTCATTTGAGGAGGGTATAGCAAAGAACTGTATAAAGCTACTATTGATGTGCCACAGTGATGAAATAAATAATTTCTAATTAAAAAACAAAAATAGGGGCCACTTATCTTTTCTAGATTTTGTATAAACTACCTATATGAAAACACCTGACTTCCATTTCTCTGGAGAAGAAATGACAGTATCTGTGGCAGCTGGATCTTGCTGCTTTTGGATGCTGGAATAACAATTGAAATTTGTACATTTTAAGATAGAAATGTATAAATAGTTGCACTTATTATATGAAGTTAGTTTGTATGCTGTCCCATAACATGCAGACATATATAAATAAAAATATAACAAGATGAAAGAAAATATCAAGAATACATATGAAGAATACAAGAATACTATCTGGCTTCATCCTATAGATTGCAGACTAAAAACTGCTATAGCATTTAAAGGAAATGAATCAGAATCTGAGACTGGTAGCATGTCTATTGATCATTTTAATATTAAATAATTTTGTATTTTTTGACAGCTGCATGCAAAGAGAAACAAGCTGTTACATAAGGGGAAATAAATCACAGTAGAAGACTATAAAACCAGATCAAATTGGCTTTCAGAATTTCTAAATTGTTGTCTTGTCACGGGCAAGGTGCTTGAAAAGCAAAGGAAAGGAGATATGGCTCTTGGTCCCAAATACCATCAGAAAGTAGGCCCAGTTTAGGAGAGAAGGCGTTCAGTGCTGTTTGGCCCTACCCTAACAACTCAGTGGAGCATCTCTTTCCTAAGCGATCACTCATGCCATTCCCAAAGACTAATCATCTCTGCAGAACAGCTGCAACAGGAGGGCCATAGGAAATCTGTGTAGCAAATAACATGATTTGTTGTTCAAACATTTTAGACTACGTGAAATAACTTTCACATGTTTTGTTCTAGTTTTGCCCATTTTTTCCAAAATCTTGGGGACCTCTGATTGCACAGAGCTCCACTGGAATCCTAAAAAACCTAGGATTATTGCTATTGCTCCTTCATCACCTCTTGAAAGAGGATCATCATTTCATCCCTTGCAGAAGTGGAAGGGATAATCAGGTTTTAGAATTCAAGCATTATTGGGATATTAGGTAGATTTAAGTTAGCAAAAGGGGATTGTAATACTATAAGCTATAGAGGTTGAAAAACCAAGGAGATATAAAACTGTAAACTCCACTTGAAGTATGAAGCAGTAAACGCAGAAAAATGCTGACATCTATAATGCATCAGGAATGTAAATTAATTCATTGTAACATAAATGATAATTGAGAACTATCACTGATAATTTAGGATGAGTGAAAATTTTATAATTGGGTCTGAGTACAGTGTGGAGCTCTGTGAAGCTTCTGACCAGAGTAAAGGTCGGTCTACTTTCTTAATTGTTTGTAATTATTACTGCTGCATTTCCTGCATTTCCTAGTATGAGTCCTTTCAATTGCATATGCAGTAAGAGGTTACCTTGTAAGGCACCTAATAAAAATAACCTATGTGTGCATCTTTTTATATTATGTTCCAAGCTTTTCTGTATCAAAGCAATCCAAAAGAACAACCATGCTATGATATTAGATTCAAGTTCAAAGCAATCTAGTTGATTGGTTCCCATTTTACTTTTAGTATCCAAAATACTGTAAAGGACAAGTGAAAAGCCATTTGCAAAATACACACAACATAAAATGTTTGGTGACCAGCAGAATACTATCTTTTCGTCATCTTATTAAATTAATAATGTTTAGGAGTTGAACACCTAGCAGTTTATTTTCCCCTAAAGTAAAACCTCATGGTAGAACTTGGATTAAAAATGGCCTAAAGAAAGGACTTAATCTGATTAGGAGATGACAGCTCCATCCCATATCAATTTACAGAAGTCAGAAGTGGTTAGCTACATCAGTTTTCCTTGGTTATTATGTTCAGTCTTGAATAAATGAGGGGGAAAGTCTGTCTGTGCTCCTCACATGCAGTCATTTAATTCACTATTCTTTTCTGGTAAATCTCATTCACAGTGCTCCTTTGAAATATGATTGGTGATGCCAATTACCACATGTATGTCAGTTGAATGGAATATATTTCATTTTATTAGAGAATATGACATCAATGAAATCTGTAATTTCTGTACCCCTTACTATTTAATTCCTATACTGTTTATTTTTTATTTCAGATGATGAGCATGCATCCTTTGCTCCCACTCAATTTCTCATTATTTCTCCATTAAGTCAAATTACAACATAATTCAGGAATATCCAAATTGATGAATGATGGTATTGCCTTTCAAAAGCTAAAGAATCATGGGGTGAACACCTTCCTTCATCTATAATGTTTGTCTTATCAGATGTTCAATCCAGTTGAGGACAACATAAATTTTAGGAGTTTAGAAACCAGCAGCCAAACTAATAAATTGCTTGCAATAAGGATATTTTATCAGGCAAATGTCAGTAATCTCAGAAATAAGCATTAAAGAAAAACGGAAAGATCAAAATAAAACTGGCAAGTTCATTGGTTTAAGCCAAATTATCATTTAAAACTGAGTTTGTTAAAAAAGACAGTTTTATACAAAAGTGGATTGGTCTTACTGATATTTTAAATTTAGATGAAGTCCTGGCTTCCAAAGGGTTTGGGTTTTACCCACAGTGTACAGTTAGATCTTTTATTTCTCAATAACAGGCATCGGCCATCTGGCAAGACTTGGCAACTTGTTCAATTGTTGTAGAAGGATACATCTGATTAATTACCTTCTCTGCTCATAAAAGGTTTTCCTGAAGAAATAGAAGCATGCTCCTCTCTATTTTGTCCCATGGCTTGTGCAGTTCACTGCCTGGTGTACAAAGAATTTTAGCAGGTCGCTGCACATTTAGCTGGAAGGTCCAGTTATCTAGTAGATAAAATAAATATAGAGCTAATCATTATATGCTCTTGTGTAGCAACTTAAAGAACAGTCTTTACCTCAAGTCTATAAGTATCATGAATTAAAAAAAAATACTGGCGTATAACGATAGAACAGAACATGCTTCAGTAAAAGAAGCGTTATGGTATGTCTGGCTACTGACTCTCAGACAAGGCTCACAATTAGTCTTACAGAAATCTTTTACAGTTAATAAGAGTCTGGATGAAAAAAAAATTTTTGGATGTGATCCATGCCACATAGGATTAGCAGAAATCATTGAGACATTTAAGATATTCTAGTGGAGTTACCACTGTAGACAGAGACATCTAACATATTTTTAAGAGTAAATTTTTTTCAAACAACATGTTAACATGAATTCTTTTATACTAGTTTAGACTTTTGGGCCTAGTTCGTTCAGGCTTGAAAGGTGATCTAGCTCATTATTTGACAAACTCTGGGAATAGTCCATCACAACTTTGCAGCATCACATAATACCCCCCAAAGTTAATGAAACTGATAATCAAGAAAAGAATAAACACAGAATGCTTGAACCATGTAAGCATGTGAACACACACGCACATATGTAACTATATAAAGAATAAAAAGTTGCTCTATAATATTGTTTTCAGTAATTCCTAACAGACATTAGATGTAAACTGTTAAATAAAGCCAAACACGCAGAAATATTCTTCTGGACCTGACAAGAGTCAGCTCCCCCATGGGGTCCTTCCGCCCAGCCCCTGCCAGCACTAACCCGTCCCTGGGCAGCTCACTTGGGCACGAGAGCTCCTTCTAAGCCCTTCAGCATCAGAAGAGAAGAAGAAAAGCTTTAAGGCAGTGTGGGAGTTACCCTTGGCGGCCCTGCAGGCACGGAGCAGAGCGGGGCTGGCAGCAAGACCTACGGCAGGCCAGGGAGGAGGAGGAGGCAGCTGCAGGTCAGGGCGAGACCGTAAGTTACGTGGGAGGAAAAGACAGCAGTGATTTCAAGGGTAGCTCTATGCGACTCTTGACAATGGGGTGCCCCCGATGACCCAGGTCTCGGACCTATGCATTAAATACAGTAAAATAACCCAGCAAACATCAAAGGTGATATTTCATTCTGATGCATACACAAACAATTGACCTTTGCTGCTGCAGTTTTTTTATATTTTAAAACTCTCACAAAGAAAGGCTAGGATTTCCCCTCAAAAATCCTCAAAAGAAATACATGTGAGAAATTCACAGATATGGCAATGTAAAAGACAGAGGTGGTCAAAATATCAGAAAAGATGACAACCTTGCGAAAGCCCTTGATTTACACAGGAGGCCCAGAGCTACAAATATTTGTTCTTGTTCAACAACTTCATCAGACACAGCACAATCTGCTGGCTGGGGCAGTTTTACCGTGCATACTTGGCCAGCAAAGTCAAACTTTCTAACACAACCTATGGGAACTCACCAACACTTGAGAACTGTAACTAGATGTGATCTACCAGGTGGAAAAAATTGTGACTGGTTTGTTTTGTTTTCTTCTAGCAGGCAACTTCAATTTATCACAGCCTTATTTTCTGGAACATGTGGATGAATCCTGCTAACAATATAAAATTTAAAAATTTTATTTTATAACTATTTTAATTAAGGTGTTGCTACTTAAGGGTCTCCTTTAACCTTTCATATAACATGTTTAACAAAACATATAAACCACGGTGTTTTACACCAATGAATATGAATATACTATTATAGTTTGACTCCCTGAAGTAGGATGAAAGGTACAAGCCCTGGTATACATTTAATATAAATATGAATATAAATATAAAAAGCCATTAAGCTCCTTTGTAGTATGAGATGTCATAAGCAATGGAAGACTTTCACTTAATAAGCCTATCTTTGCAAACAGGAACAATTTCAGCTATAAGGAGAGATTTTACTGGACATATCATAATAAAAGGATGAGGGAGGGCAGAAAGCTGTAAGATCATCATAAAACTGACATAGAAAGCAACAAGATTCTATTAGACACAGTAATACAGATAGAATGACCCTGAAAAAAATATACTGACAAGAGATTTCTGGAACAATATCCAGAGTATACCTTAAGGTCTATACCTTATAGTCCATATAGTTCACCTTACCCTGGATTCAAATCAACAGGACTGAATGATTTTTCCTAACAAACAAAAATACTTCTATTAAATCTATTACAAAATAAGCCTCTATATGTCAATTAATAAGTAGCTATAGTGCACTATTCTTCATTCCTTTGCTGTATCGCATAGGTAATATCTTCAGCAAAGGTTTTTTAAAGTTATTTCTTTGCAGTGCTTGGAGCAGACTACTTGAACTTCTTGCAGCTGCCAAGTCCTGCCTGGGGTCAGCTACAAGCAAGAACAGTGCTGAGAACTCGGTAGTCCATGTAAACTGGAGAGCTATAGGTATTGTTCCTATATTTGTTTGAAGAGCACTACAAATATTTTCCTTGATACTTTCCATGATACTACTGAAGATAATATTTTTTTTTCCATGATATACTGAAGATAGTCATTTTTTTTTCACTTTGTTTTGGTAAATACACATTTTTTTCATTTTGGGTCACTGATAGGTTGTACACATGAAAGATGTACCAGATGAACCCAAGAAAAGTAGACGATGAGAAAATAATTTTGACCTTTACGGCATTAATTATATCATAAACACATATGCAATATAATACATATAATATATAGACAATACACAGAATAGCTCTTTATAAACAACAAAATTAGAAACACTGATTCTCTAGTCAAATAGCAGCCTGACTGTGTTATAGGAATTTGTGGAAATAATCTCATAAAGAAATCAATCCTTGAATCTCCATGCTTACACAGTGGGCTTTGAGTCTTGTAAGCTGCTATGTCATACAAGGCACATCTTTTGACAGTCAGATCTCTTTTTTTTTTTTTTTTTTAGTACCTTTACCTCTGCAATTATTTTTCCCGAGGCATAAGTTCCTTGGTCAGGTTTATAAGCATTCAGATAAGCACAATTTTTTCGCAGCTGGTTGATCATACAGGCATCTCTGTTCAGGTGATGGCAGTTTAAGTAATAATAAAAAATTTCTTTTGAATTACAACTCTGAGTAATATGCCTATGTGACAAAAAATTCAGAGAGTAAAACAATCACAAATTACTCACAGGATTTTAGGTTTGGTAAATAAATAAAACAATCAATTTTAAATAATTCAGTAGTATCTTAAAAAAAAAGACCACAAGAAGGGACATATGCTTAGCTGACTGCATGTTCCTGAGTGATATTTAATTCAGCTGATACAGGAGTTGATTATGGCCAACAGATGGTCCAAATATTGCTTACATATAATTAAGATATTTTATTTTTAATTTATATTTCATGGCTAGATCTTTACGCATCTTATACTGGAGCAAACATCTATTCCTGCCATAAAGCTCAATTAAAAAAACGCTGGTTTTACTGCGTCTTCCATATTCAGACTAGAAGTATGTATTGTGCACAGTTTGTGCTGTACAGCATATGCTTAGATAATCTCTCCAGTCTGATCTTGAAGCATTACTTGTTATCTTCAGTTGGGCTTTATTTCATGATGTCAACACCATCAACAAACTACATAACACATCAACAAGCTACGTAGTATTAAGGTTATTAGCACCAGTTGTTGTTTTTTATAATCCATGTAATTTCAATACAGTTTTGATGAAAATGTTTCCAAAGGCAAGAAAAAAAAAGATCCTCTCCAGTTCGACTACATATATCATATCTTAAGATCTGATCACATATCCTCTGCATGACCAGGTGCTAAAATATTGACTGCTTATCCATATGGATGAAAATTACTTTTTAAATTCTGAATGCTTCTAAAGTAAACAGTACTTCACTCTTTGCTCTTTTCATGTTTTGACAGTTACCCTAAGGAGTTATTAGTAGTGAAACCGTGAGGCCTGTTTTACTGTCCTATATGTAATTATTCATGCACATGTCCGTATGACTACTTTTTAATCTCTGTAAAGGTCATAGTTCTTGACTTCTAACTAGTCAAAATGTATTTATGCCTAAACTGCATGTATATTTGAGTATCTCGTTAAAGCCTTAACAGATAGTGTAATATAGCATCCGTTTAATTTATCTGATCAGTATCGCTTTGGGTCTTTAAAAATCAAAGTCTTTGATAAAGTTCTTGAATAACATGAAAAGGATTTTATATATTCACACAAAGTGTATTGAAATACCTCTGAATACTGTATGTTTCCAATTGGTTTCATTCATTCCTGAGCTTTTTAGTCCATCCTTCACAGGCTTTCACCACCACAGGCTGGACAGGGCTCCTTGTGCGAGCCAGTGTGGCTGGTTTAAAGGTTGTCACTCATTTCCCTAAAAAGGAAATAATATTTTCAGGTTATTGAGCCTGAAATACTAAAAAAGTGATTTGCAAGGCAAAACTAAAAATAAACATTCAGAAATATAAACTCTAGTAAATGCAGAAATATCATTCTCTTCAGCCCAAGTAAAAAGAACAAATAATCTATTCATCTGATTTCTATCTGAATTAGTCCAAGGGTTCCTATGGAAAAAAAAGCATTTAGATGTTAAAGCAAAAACAGCCTCTGTCATTTTCTTTTCGTATTATGTTTAACATCTGTCTTGTTGTCCAGCAAGCTTTTCCCACTATTCAAAGAAATATTTTTGGTTAGGGATTGCTTGAAAATAACCCTCTTCACGCTGCTTGTGTTTTCTATCTAATATTAGCCTCGGAGGGTACCTATTGCCTGACAACCGTTTTGGTGCGCAGCATTGAACTGCTGGGGTTTGCCACGCTGGGTTATCTGCTACACTTCAATGTTAAGTCCCTGCCAGTTCCCTTGAGTTCCCCAATGTATTTATAGAGACCACAGTGAATTCTAATCTTCTGGTTTTACCAAGCCCAAACATTATACCTCATTTGTGAAAACACATAATTTAACTTTCTAACAGTTCATTTCCTGAACATAGACGTGCTATTCTCCCAACACCTCTTAAGGGATCCCTTTTGCCAAAAATCTGTATGGGCAGAGCTCATATAGCACAAAGGCTTCTCTAGGTTGAAAAATGTACGTGCCCAAACACTGAACTGTATGAACAAATTTAGAATTGCAAAAAAACATAATACTTTATAACAAAATTTCCTAAACACAGAAATAACAACGCATTACAGAATGCTTAATGTTATCAACATTGTAGCTTTCTCCTGAGTTTTGTGGCTTCTAGATCAGTCAAAAATAGGGTTTTTTACCACATAAATATCTTTGCCTTTTTTTCCAAATGCAACATAAAATACATACAGTATTTCTATAGCTCGTATTTCTTATGAGGATTGCATAAATAGATTCATATGGATTTATACTAATCAGTATAATCAGAACTATCATGGAAAATACCTTTTAAAAAGATGAAGAATGAAAAATATTTGAAAGTAAATGTCCTAAGGAAGTTCTAGAAATAATACAGATTTACAGAAATATTTGAAGGTGAAGAAAAAAAAATAAATCATAGAATCATAGAATGGTTTGGGTTGGAAGGGACCTTAAATAATAAATACAATACCTTAAATAAATAAAAGGACCTTAAGGGTAAATAATAAATGAAAATATCTGCATTTATTTTAAATACTTTAATTACATTTACTTTTCTAGTATTACACCTTCCGTAAGGCAGTGAAGATGGAATTATACCATCTTATTAACACGTACCCACCACTTAAAGCTCTTACATCTGAAAACTATCAGAAAACCAGCCTCATTACCTACAGAAATAAGGCTTATTCGGGAGCAGTAGGTCTGGTTTTCTGCCTGTTGGTCCTTCCCTTAGCATCTTTCAGATGTGATGGCTAATTTCAATCCAACCTGACAGACAAATAAAGGACTCGGGTATATAACCTTCCTAAAAATTACATTAAAATGGACATAGGGTAGATAAGACAGACCCAGATTTTCCCCTGAGGAAAGGCAATCATTACTCATTGTTTTTCCATTCCCAGAGGCAGCCACTTACACACGGGCCAGATATTTAACACTAGAGCAGTTCTGTCCCCATCTTTTCTTTCTGTACTGTGGAGAGGAGGAAAGATGCACAGTAAATACACAATTTGGCCAAAAAGAAGTTCTCCACAGGAAGCTCAGACCTGTCAGCTTTGTGAGGATGTATATAAAGAAGCAGCTATGATGTCTGAAGTGCCCAGAGTCATTAAGGATAATGGTGATTTTGTTTCCACTCCATTCATTCTTCCTTTTCTTGTATTTTCAGAGAAGCAAAGCAAAAGTTCATAACATGCTGGAGTAAATATTTTATTCTTATCTTAATACTTTAAACTAATTAGACTCCAGTTCATCCATTTGTTCATATATTGGATGCAAATAAATCACAAATTAAATAAAATGTTTTTATAATAGTTACATCACAGAAGAAGAAGGAAACAAATAACAAGAGCAACAATAATAATACCCCAGGGGTAGGTGGTAACATTTCAGAACGGTCCATGATGCAAAACCAGTAAGATGTGCAAGGTGCCCCTCTCTCTGTGGAGGTTTAAAAAAGTCTTTGTACTAAAACTGAGCTGTATATGGGAATACAAATATTGTAAAGTCTGAACCATTACTGCTGGATGATAAAGGAGGTGCACCACTGAAATCTTAAAGGATCAGAGAAGAAAATTTGGGCAAAAAAGCTTAGTAATATTTTTACTGAAACTCATTTGAATTAATCTAGAACTACAGAAAAGTAAACTTTTGCATCTAGTATAGTGAAAGTCTCATTTTCTCCCCAGGCTTTTGTAATTGTTAATTACAAGAAGGAAAAAAATTACTATAATTCTTTATAGGAAAAAAAAAAACAAACAAACTTTGTAGGAAAAAAGTGTGGGTTTTTTTAAAGATCAAGACTAGAATATAAGACTGCCTTTTGATATATGCCTTCAGTAATGTTTTCTGAAACGACTGAGAGGCCTTGAGAATGAATTTTGTTTAGGTCATGAATCTTAGTTTTTTAGATGAAGATGGTCTTTGACGAATCAGAGATTACTTCGTGAAAGACTAGGAAATTCCAGAAATTATTAAACCTGCCTCGGAAACTGCTGATGAATGGACAACAGTGAGGATCTTTAACAAAGGGAAAAAGTTACCTTTTCTTTTGTACTCTCCATAAAACCGTTCAGCCATTTTGTTCTTCAGATGTCTGAAGGGCTTAAGATGTTGGGTTTCTCTGATATACATGAACCTGAACCATTGTTAAGTGTCTTATAAAGAGAACCTATGTAATTACCTCCCCAAAGTCACGTTATTGTCCATCCATTTGGGTTATTTGGATTAGACTATGCTTAGTACAAAGGCGAGAGGAGGAAGAAAATGAAAACTGGAAAAACATCAGCATTACACACGCTTCCCTACCACCAAGTCAGAGCCTGCTAATGACCCCATGTCCAGAGTCAGACACGTACCGTACTTGTTTATTTCATGTACAGGATAAGGTTTTAGCAACGCCTTTCCAACTCCAGCATATACACTCAGTAAGGGAGCAATGATGTCATGTGGGAATAGGTCTGTTCTGGCACAAAATCATGGATTTCACTAGGTGAAGGCGGTGTGGAATAACAGCATGCCTATGAATTATATACTGTATTTCCTGCAGTGTGTTTCTGTTCCATAGAGGCTCTTTGTGTCTGTTATACAGTACAAGAAAACTATTATTGATAGTCAAATCCTTTAATTTCTGCGTTCTTCAGGTTTTGAAGATCCCGTGCATTTCAGTGGGATTGAATTTCACTTCTGATGTACACAGCAACCTTAATTCAAACACACTGTGGTGATTTTGTGCATTAACAGTAACAACAAAGACTACTATCTTACCGTTCCATTAAATACATAAAAGACGGAAACAATGTGCAGTAATTCCCAGCTGATTTTTTTTTTTTTTTTTTTTTTTTTACAGAACATTTGATATTATACTGCTAAGTAAACATTGTTTTAAAACCTTGACTTTAACACCAGGGAGATTAAAAGACACAGATTTGTTCATTGACTACTTTTCAGTGACAGCAGTGGTTGTTTATAGTATGAAGATGGCCGGTTTTAAACCTATACTTTTTTTTTTTTTTGGCATTTTAATTCAGAGATATTATATATATGGTATACAGAATGGTATGTGCGAATACAAAAGCATCAAATATAACATTTCAGAGTTTCCTATGCTAATGAAACTTTAAAAAGTTAACATCACAGAAGCAGATTAAAAGGTGTAATGTCTCTGTAGTTTGACTAGAGCTAACTTTTTGATACTTAGTTCCGAATCACAATGTTTTTACTGTAACTATATAGTGATACTGTTATATGAACACTGAAAGATTTAAAACAAATGAGAGAAGTCTAGTTCTCATATTATGCTTATCACAAAGACAAAATAAAAAAAACCCCAAAAAACTACACAAACTAGTAGATCCAAACAGGTAACCACCACGATCATCCAAATTCGCATTACATACAGTCAAAATAAAAATGTTGAATCTTCTCTTTAGCACATAAATCCCACTATTTGGTCAATTCTGGGATTTGTATTCTTAAACCATAGCTTAGATAGCTGTGGTAGGATGTTTTAAGAGAAAATGCTAGATAAGTCAGCATGACCTCATCTTAAACTTATATCCTTTGTGCTATAACAAGATATACAAAGGAGTCTTTCAAGTAACCAAGTTACAAACTATTAATGCCAATACAATGAATTTAACCTGAAGTTTTAAAGAACATCAATACACGAATTTGTGCTTAACTGAGCCATTCATTTTTAAATTACATACAATTCAAGATTTAACAACACGCACTTCTAAGGAGCCTCAAAAATTCTTTTAGGAATGAAAAAAATCTGCATTTCAACATGAGCAAAAAAATTTTCCCTGCTACCAAAAGGGTGGAATAATATATTGTACATGTGTTTTATCATCTTTAGGATCTGTCTCCTATTAACACGCAGAATAACATTTAAAACCACTCAAAGCATGCACGATGTTAAATTCACAGTTTGAAAACTGCACTACCATTTTTGTTTGAAGTAGTACCAAATGGGGTTTACGTTCATTTTATATAGCACATGGATGCCAGACAAACTTTTCAACATTCTAAAATTAAAAAGAGATTTTCCCCCTCCCAGTTTTTAAAGTGTTCCTTTTCCTTATTTTTTTCTTTTTCCTTTTTAGATGTCTCTCTTTTTTAAAATTTATTTTCCATACAGTGAATCACAATTCTTTCCAACATCATAGCTTTGCAAAAGAGACATATCTGGTTTACCTTCTTTCTATTAATTCTCCAAGCAGCATACTAGCATTTATGCCACTTATTAAATTTAGCTGAAGTGTATACGTTCCTAGCACATCATTTTGGTTTTGCTAGCAAAAGCGTAAAAAAGAAGTTTGTGAAGAAAGGATGATATATCGGGAATCCCTAGTGTACTATTTATATCTACAGAGAGATAACTACCATGCGAGCATCCCTTTATTTAATTACATTTTATTCATCTTTATTATTATAATAATAATATAGAGATAAGTGATGTTGATTACCTGAGGGTGAGAGTACAGCTGCAACAAGGTAAAAGCTGCCTACAGATGGACAAAGGAGAATATTGGTTATGAACTGGAAGAAGAAACGAAGAAAATAAAGAATATTAATGAGATAGGCATGGATCTAATAATTAAAAAGCAGAAATTGTTGGTAGGTTAAAAATAAACTTTTAGTGGAGAATTTCACAATTACAGGCGGAATTCAGGTGTGCAGCTGTCACTGCACTGCAACAGAAATTGTGGACAATATCAAGATAATTGTTTTGGTGAATATAAAAGTCATTGAAGATGGAAGGCACTGAAAACTAAGGAAGTCACCCATAAACCAAAAAAGTGACATGATTTTCACAGGGTACTTCTCTTTGTAGGTCCTTGCGTTAATTCAGTTTGTAACTTTTAGAGTTATTTTTTTCTCCCGAGTCCCTACAATCCACCTTCAGTATGAAAGTAACTTCCCCTTCAGCTTTCTTCAGTCCTGAGATAAGATCTAATCTCCAGGTCAAACCTAGCAGGTCCTAGTTACGTGTATCTGAGCAGGCTTTTTACAAATGGACAGCCGAGTGGAGCACAAGATAAATCGGCTATGCTACTTTTATTCAAAAGCAGGGTAGGTGGCTTACATCCTCTATTTTCACATAGCTTAGCTGTTAGAGTCATTGAAAAAGTCAGGTGACCTGCTTCTGGTTGTCCCACTCGCAGGAGCCTCTCATAATGCAAACTAGGGTACAGTTACTCAGAAATCTCATCGCCCCCTGTGAAAACAGGTCATTACACATTTAAAACTAATGCGGACAAAGAGTCAAAACCCAAACAGGTCTATTCTCATGAAGAGTAGTTATGTATTTAGCATAGATACATAAAAATGCCAGCATTTCTGGTCCCTCCTCTCCCATACTGTTTGTCCATGTTGCCTTAAGCATAATTAACTAACTAGTATTTTTTGAAGCAGGGAGCAAGTTGCTGATTTTTGAGCCACCTGTTTGTGGTATCTAATTCCTGGCATTGATCGTATGACTCCAATTTTAAAACTTTCAATAAACCAAATGCCATTTTGGGATGGTTATAATTCTGATCTGAGTTTACATGACTGACATCCATCTAATAATTAATGATATAAAAAATATAATAGTGAATTTAACATGAAATTCCTTTACATTTACATTTATGTTTGTTATATCTTTGAGCTAATCTCAAATCTTTCTTTTTTCTTACTCTCTCGATTGACTAGTATAGAAAATGGATTCACAATCCCAATAGTCTTTTTTTTTTTCTTGCAATTATTTTAAAGGTATTAAGAGCAATCAATCTTTACATACTCACAGATGTTCCAAGTAAGCAATAAAAATGATTAATAGTAATATAATAAAAATACCTCAGAAGCTTACTCTGAAATGTATATCATCTTGCATGCAATACCGATCAATTAATAATTTTAAAGGAGCCTGATATTTATTTAGTATAACCTTTACACTCTGATTTTCAATAGCATTTAATTAACCTGCGCAATGACTGGTGTTGTGTACATATATTAAAAATTTGTAAAAGTAATGGTCAGTTAGGCAGCAACTAGTATAATTTGTACATACAGTGACATTAATTATGCTCTCAAATTAGGCACATCATTGCTCTGGATGGTGTAGAATTCTGATCTTATAGGTGTATTCCCTTCAACTTTTCACAAACATTTCAACATATAATATCTATACGTAGTGCAATTAATTCTTGTCCAAAAGAGCTATTTTTTGAGATAAAAATTAAAGTAAAAAAGCCTGTTAGAACACAAAAATAAAGACCATGTTTATTCAATGGTAATATTTTTTTTTCTTATAGTGTTAACTTTGCTGTAAGAAAGTGAAAATAAAGGTAAAGGATTTCTAAAGATAGCTTTAAGCAGTTATTTGGAAAGGGTCTTCTTTTAGCTCCATAACAAAATACCATAGCTGTATGAAAAACAATCTATATGAAATTTCACCAAAAAAAAAAAAAAAAAAAAAAAGTTAACTGAGACTTTTTAAGATTGCCTTTTTACCTGCAATGTTCATTACAGTCATTCCTTCAGCAGCATGGAGGATTTTAGCTTTTTCTTCACACTCCTCTCCTGCAAGTTTCTATTGCTCATTCACAGCCTGTGACATTACCGTGGGCTGTTGCAGAGAAGCTAAATTCTGTGGTTTTGGACATTTAGAACTAGATGTTCTAATGCTTTTCATACTCAGCTCAATGTCTGCCTCATTCTGCGTTCTGCATTCATGAATCCTCTGTCATTAGGTTTTGGTCATCGCTGCAGTACAATCTCAGGTGCAAAAATGAATGCTAACACATCCAATTCTTTTTGACTGTCTTTAGCAAAACACACATGATCTTTTCTCTCTCTTCTTGTCCTTTGAAGGGTTACTTAATGTAGGTAAAAAGTGTGCTCTCTGGATGCAAGGTGAGTATTTGCCATCTTTGCTCTGGAGAATCTGAATTGTATAATGGTAGGAGCAGTTATTTTCTTTTTCACAAGACAAGGAAGTTTCTAAAATGCACTTCTGCAATATCTCTATATCATCTCTATCTACTGCTTTCCCAGTTTACCTCCAGATTAATGAGCAATCCTTCTATTTCCTACAGTTAATGAGCAATCCTTCTATTTCCTACAG